CCTTCCCCAACTTCATCTCCTGGATCAGCAATGTCCACCCTGGTTCCCCTGCCCCCTCCCAACCCCCACTGGGCTTTGGGCACTGCAGAAACTCAGGCAATGAGGCTTTGCTTTACCCATGACTAGAGCCCGCAAATCACCTTGAGCTGCTCACCCAGGTGCTCCCACCCACAGACGGCTGAGGATAAGGGAGAACAGTAGAAAAGGCTTTGGGTCCTGGGAGTGAAGCCCAGGACTCTGGAACAAACTCAGGAAGTGGCAGGGGAGGTGGGGGGATGTGTGGAAAACAGACAGGTATAGAAGTCTGAACACCAAGGCAGCCTCGGTGGGAGCTGGATTCTCCTGGGCCTGCCCCACAGGGAGGACAAGCCAGCCCCAGAGACCAGCTCAGCCCGGCTCCCTGCTCAGGCCACAGCCAGGGGCTGCTTGCCCCTGCCCCGCTCCACCCAGCCCCAAACCTCAGAGCCACCCACCCAGCCCCTGGATGGGGCCTGGAAACTCAGCACTGCAGACTCAGGAGATTTTCCAGACTGTGTGTGCGCCTGCGCACATGTACTCTGTTGAAAGGCGGGGGCGGGGTAGGGGAATGTTGCAACTGACGTGAAAGGGAAGAGGTCCCAGGTCCCAGTCTGGGCAAGAGGTGGAGGAAACATCGTACCTTCTCATCCCACCCTCATCCCACCTCACCTGGGGACACCTCACTGTTCTTTCTGGTAGCCTTGATCAGCAACCGAAAAGAGGATGGGTGGTGTGGAGGTGCCCTAATTTCAAATCTAAGGAGAAGAGACGCACAGGACACAGGTCTAGGGACAGGCAGGGGGTGTCAGAACCTGCCCAAGAGTCCCCACAAAAGAGAGGCCTGTGGGGCCCAGCACAGACTCCATAGCTTGTCCTTTGGGCAGAGCCTTGAGGAGGCACCTGGCCTTAAGAGGCACAGCCGCCAGCCCCCAACCCCGCCTAGGGGACTCAGAGACAGGGCTCCTGGAGGTTCTGAGAAACAAGCAGCAACCTCCCCAGCCCAAACCTCTCCATTCAGCAAAAGAAAATGTACCACAAGGGCTGTATCTCCTCCCCAGCAACCACCCCCACAGACAAACCCACATCCTCTCCCTAGAGAACCCCTGGGGTTCCCCCCACTACCCCGAAGTCTCGGGGCACCTTACTGATTCCTTCCGGAAAGAGCCAGGCAGGAGGCAGAGGAGGGCAGAGGGCAGGTCCAGAGTCCTGGCTCCCAAATGTGAACTTGGCCTGGCCTCTTCCTACAGCTGCCCCAGGCAGCGCTCTTCTGGCCCCTCTCTGCTCTCCCACAGCCTGAAACCAGGCCTTGGGCAGCTCCCACGCTGGACCAAGGTAATTGCCGGGCAGCAGAGGAGCAGGATGGCTCAGCACAGCCAAGCGACCCACTCTCCCTGCTGCCTATACTATGGGGAAGGTGGCCAGGGAGTGGGGGAAGGGCCTAGGTCCACTGACCAGGTCATGGGCGAGCAAGGGAGGGGTTGGTATGTGTGGATCAACACTGTGCGTGTGCATGTGTGCAAACGTGGGCCATGAGCGTGTACACTCCTGTCTGGATGGATGCATGAGTGGGTGTCCAGGGACAACACAGAGCGGGAAGGAGAGGGGAGCCCCTGGGAAGAAAAGGCCACATTGTGGACTAGATGTCCATTTGGCTGGCTCTGGGCTTGGAAGAAAGGGAGGGACTCTCTTCTACCCTAAAATCTTCCTGCCAAGGTCCTGAGTTCCAGCCACAGGCAAAGAACCAGGCACTCTCCTAGACCTCCCAGCAGGCTGGCCCTGGTACCCCAGGGCTGAGCAGAGCTGGATTGCTGGTCCTTTCAGCCAGGGGCAAGGAGTATGGGACGTTCCCCTTCACCCAAAAGGTAGCAGGAGTTCCTAGGCCCGGCACAGGAGTGCAGCTTTGAGATAGGGGTGCAGGCGTCACTGTGGTCAGCCCGGACCCATCCCATGGCCCTAACAGCACTTCCCTGCCCCGCCCACCATGTCTCCCCTGCTGTCTCCCTGCCTCCTCCAGGCTGGGGCTTCCCAGATCCAGTTCTGTCTCCCCCACACAAACAGGAACATGCCTGGGCCAGTAAAGTTGGGGCAGAACAAGCTGGCTCAGGCTGGCCTAGGATTCTGGGGGCAGGAAGGATGGAGGAGCAGCCACCCCAGACCCTAGTGCTTCTCTAAAGAGGAGCCGAGGAGGGCAGCTAGGAGGGAGCAGAGCAGGTGAAGTGTGCGGGACCCAGGAGTCCTGGCCCCCAGCAGCTGACCCTCTCCCCAAGATCCTTCCCTTGAATTATTAGAGGGCAGCGGCCCTTGCCTCTGGGGGCCAACTGCAGCCCAGCAAGGAGCTCCTTACTCGCTAGGGGCTGGCAAGGAGCAAAGACTTCTGGGAATTCCAGATTTAATGGCTGCCTTTCCCTGGGGGGCTTCTGATACTGGGGACAGGGAGCTGTGGCTCACAGCCCTGGAACTGGGGGTCACTAGAGGGAGAAACAAGGGAGTCAGGATGGGTATGGCCAGAGCTCAGGAGGGCTGAGGGCACCCGAGACAGCTTCAGATGGAACAAGGCTGACTCTCATGATGCCCTGTACCAGCCCCGCCCCAGCCTGGCCTGGTGGCTTGGGATGCCCCTCTCTGTCCTCCCTGGAGTAAACTGCCCTACCCGGGATGCTGGGAGACCCCCGGGAGTGACTCCTTCCTCAACCTCCTCAGTGCTGGGATGGAAGTGCCCGGCTTCGGGGAGAAAGTCAGCAGTGAGGAGGAAGAGGGAGGCTGGGGAGCGGTGAGACCCGTGACCCCCTCACCCTGCGCTGCTCCCAGGCTCCCAGGCCCACTTCCCCAGCCAGCTCCTCCAGCTCCTGGCTCCTCTGGCCTCTGACTCCTGAGCTCTCCATGAACAAAGCACTCCACAAGCTGAGGAGGGAGGTGCTGCAAACATCCCCCAGGGGAGGGAGGAAGCTGAGGAGGAGACCGAAGCGGAGACCGAGGTTCAGGGTGGCTCAGCGACTTGGCCAAGGTCACACAGCTGATAAGCTACATTTAGACTCACATGCACAGGTCTTTCTGATTTCTGACTATTACTGTACTTTCTCTGGAGTTGAGGGTGGCTAGAACCTAAATCTCAACCCAGGAACACAAATCAATTCAAGTGACAGAAGTTTGAGAGCTGCTGGGACCTTTCAGCCCCAGGGGTGGGAAGGTTCTGGAAGGGAGAGGGAGTCACTCCCAGAAGCCTCCCAGCAGCCCGGATGGGGCAGAGTCCACTCCAGAGAGGGCAGAGAGGGGCGACCCAAGTCACCAGGCCAGGCTGGGGAGGGGCTGATGCAGGCCGTTGACGACCGGTGTCTTGTCCCTTCTGAGGCTGCAGTGGGCACCCTCAGCCCTCATGAGCTCTGGCCACACACCTTCATGGATGTCCAGGCATCCCTAAGCACAGGAGAAGAGAGAGTGGGCAGGAGGCAAAGAGTGACTGTCCGCTCCACCCTAGACCCACCCAGAGGGAACAGGGGATCCTTGAGGTCTTGCCTAACGCCCAACCACTACCCCCACCCCCAACTATCTTGCCCATCTCCTGGCTCCCAGTTTCCTTGCTCCTTGGTCAGAAGCTCAGCTTCCAACTGTCCAGCCACTGCCAGGCCTCGGTCTATGGGGGAAAGGGGTGGGCTCATAGCCGACAGGGCCTGGACCCTGGAAACTTGGGGCCACTAGGCAGACCTGCATGGGGAGGGCTTTGCCGCTTCCTCCTCCCACCCCTGTGGTGTCCTAGCTTCCTGTTCTTGATAACAATCAACACAGGCCCAGAGCCCGGCCCTCTTTCCAACCCCCACCTGCCCCCTCCTGTACCCCCAGGGCCCCTGCTACCCACCAGTGGAAACACTGACGGGTGTAGGGGGTGAGGCAGAGGCCAGTCGCTGGGTCACTGCCTGCAGGCACGGTACGGACTCTCAGGTTCCTGCTCTTTTCCACTCTGTCCTGAGCACCCGCGCCAACCCCTTTCCCAGTCCTAATCAGCCTCCTCCTCAGGGAAACCCACCCACTCCGGAGAGGAGCGCAGGCTGCAGGGAAGAAGGCGCCAGGGTCCGCTGGCCATGGAGAGACTCAGAAAAGAGCCAGCCCCTGTCCCCACTGCCAAGAGCAAGGGCAGGTGCTGGGAGGCCTCCTGAGCCTCAGAGGGTCATTCCGGTTCTGCATATCAACCCCTCCCCAGGGGGCCAGCAGAAAGCCCTCCCCGATCACCCCCTCCAGCGTGCCTACCCCTGTGCCTGTGGTACCTCATTTCTTTTTTGCTGTCACCATTTGACAGCTGAATCAGGAAAGTGGGAGGAAGAAAGAGGACGTGCATTGTGCGTGTTGGGGGCCGGGGAGGGAAGGGTGTTTGAAATATTACAAGGTAAAAGGAGGCGTGCAGCGAGCGTGAACCAGCTGGGCTGCTGGCCCGCAAGGAGCCTGCCAAGACCAGGCAGGGGCAGGGGGCAGAGGAGTCTTGCACTTGGGCGCCACCCCTCAGGTCCCAGCAGCGAAGAGGACATGGGAGTCCCGTGCTGTGAGGGCCAGAGACTGTCCGCTGTCTGTAAGTCTTCCAAGCAGATGTCAGGGTTCTGGGAGGAGGCCCGCAGAGGACTGGGGGCCCAGGGGAAGCCCCTCAGATTCCCTCCTACAAGTGGACTCTGCTACCTGCTTCCTCCTGGGCTGGGCTACACTCAGGCACGGGCTACGGAGAGCTGGGCTGTGGCGCAGGGCATCGGAGATGACCTTTCCAGCCTGGCCCCGGGCCTTTCCTTCCCACTGTGAGGCACGGATTCGTGCCTCTTCCTTTTCCCCACCCCAAGTCTGTGCCACATCTGCTCTGGGAAGATGTGGTCTGTGCTTGGTCATGAATTCCCAAGGCTTGAAGCAGCAAGGGCTTTGAGAGAGGGGGCTGTGGGGAAGAGGCAGAGAAGCAGAAATAAGCCTCTGGCCAAGGTCAAGTCGAGCAGAAGCAGCTTGGGTTCTTTGTGGGACAGCACAGAGCTGGGGGCCAGACGAGCTGTGCCCAGCAAGTAGGCAGCGGCTGGATGTGATAAAGACCTCGAGGAGAAACGCAGCAGGACGGGAGAGGGTCTGGAAGCCGGGGAAGCAGGATGGGCAGGAAGGCCTAGCCCCTCACCCATTCCCAGGAAACAGGGCCTTGGGATCCACAAGGGCACAGGTGGGAGGGACCTGACCCCTGGTGGCAGCGGCAGCAGGCACAGGAGGGCAGCATGCAGCTGGGGTGTGCGTGGGTGGCAGCAAGGAGGGGCGGAGGGAGGAAGCTGGCTTCCTGCAGCCTTCTCAGCCCTCAGAGACAGACTGACAGACAGACAGACAGCTGGCAAGAGGCAGCCTGGGGGCCACAGCTGCTTCAGTAAGTATCTGAAGGGGGACCGGGAGTCCTGTGGCCCTGGGGGTTGCGAACTCCAGGGATATAAGGGGGCATCAGCAGGAGGGAGTGTGGGGGGCGAGCGGGGAGCCACAGGGCCTGGCTGGGGAATGGGTGCTCACAGCCCCGATGTCCCCAAGACGGGGGTAAGCATGGAAGCCACAGGGAGCTGCAAGGAGACTGGAGGCTGAAGGCCCCGTTTCTGCTGCCAGCGACCGTCTCTCTACCACCCACACCTGCGCCAGACCCGCCCTGTCCCCTCACCTCCATCCCTGCCACCTTGCTGACTAATCACCCCCGCCACCTCGCCCGCTGTGACCCTGGCTCTGGGAGAGAGGGACTGCCCCCAAGAGGAGACGGTCCCACCATCTGCACGCCCCCTGTCTTGCCCCCAGCTGTCGCCTCACCACGCGCTGTCGCTCAAGGGCTTGGTGAGGCCATTTCCTGTGACGGTTACAGAGGCGGGAGGCGGGGGATGGGCAGGAGGAGGAAGGAAACACCCCCAGCCTACCTCCCTGGACAGAGACCCCAGAAGCCAGAAACGGACTTAGGGGTGGAACAGCGGCAGTTAGGAGAGGACCCTGCCAGGGTCCCGGAGCTGGCCTGCCTGGCTGCCCACCCACCTCCAGCCCTGCTGCAGCCGCCATCCCCTGTTGAGGACAAGGCCCACTGGTTAGCTCCGAGATGGCTTCTGCACGCTTCCTCCCTTCCGTCCTAGAGAACACATGTCTTCCATTTCCTCCCTCGCCTTCTCCACTTGGACCCGCTCAGAGCCCTGGGTGGCCTCTCTCCTCTCTCTCTTCCTCCTTTCGGCTTCTTTCCTATCTTCATCCACAATCTCTACCCTTTATTTTGCCGTTACTCTAACCCCAGACGGCCTTCTGCCCTGGGTCCCACCAAAGAGATCCTGTCCTTCCTGTAGTGAACATGAGGCCACCTCTTGGGGAACAGGAGACGCCCCAGCGAAAACAGAGCGCAAAGCCGGCCTGGGCGTGGAAGCCTCCTTCTGGCCAATCAGGCAGGCCAGGGAACAGCAGCGGAGGGCCCTATCTTTCAGGCAGACCTCATGGCTGAGTGAGCCTCTCCTGGGCCCAGCACCCCACCCCAGCATGGTCCAGGCCCGTGGAGGGAGCTCCACAGCACAGCCGCCGACCGTTTCTTTGGGGGCAGCCATGACCCAGCCTCCACCTGCCAAAACGCCAGCCAAGAAGCACGTGCGGCTGCAGGAGAGGTGAGATCTGCCCTGGGGGAGGGGTCTTCCCGGCCCTGAGCCCCATTCCGTTCCTCCCTTCCCTCCACCTGCCCCTCTAGCTCTGACAGCAGAGTCCAGAGGACCCTCAATTGTTGACTCCAGTATGGAAAGGAAACAGTAGTGCTCATTTGCATGTGTTTTGCATGTCTGGAGCGCAGAGTTTCTTATCAACCCTGAGCCTGCTCCCTAAATTCCAGGCCAGGCCAGTGGCCTTCTTGGTGCCGGATGCACGTCAGAGCCACAGGGCCTGGCTGGGAGTGGGAAGAGGCAGGCAGCTGGAAGGAGCAGTTGAGTTCAAGGCTGCCCTGTCTGGCTGACACAGGGAGAGGGCTGAGCCCGGCATGGTAGCTCATGCCCAAAATCCCAGCACTTTGAGAGGCTGAGGTGGAAGGATCTCTTGAGTCCAGGAACTGGAGACCAGCCTGGGCTAGGAAGCGGGGAGGCGGGGGGGAAGGCATACAGCAGGGGCCTGAACCCTAAATTCGTTGGGCCTCCAGGTTAAAGGAAAGACAAGGAACGGCCCCTCAGAGGTGCCTCGTAACAGTAATTAATACTTGTCAGAAAAGCAAGGATGGTCAGGTGCAGTGGCTCACGCCTATAACCAGCACTTTGGGAAGCCAAGGCAGGAGGATCACTTCAGCCCAGGAGTTCAAAACCAAAAAAAGAAAAAAAAAATTATTTTCAATTAGCCAGGCACGTAGCATGTGCCTGTGGTCCCAGCTACTCCGGAGGCTGAGGTGGGAGGATTGCTTCAGTTCAGGAGTTTGAGGCTGCTATGAGCCATGAGAGTGCCATCACACTCCAGCCTGGGCAACAGAGAGAGACCCCTATCCATAAAAGAAAAGATAAAAAGCAAAGCAAATACGATTGGGTGCTCACGAGGCAGTGTGGGCTGTGCCTGCAGGCGGGGCTCCAATGTGGCTCTGATGCTGGACGTCCGGTCCCTGGGGGCCGTTGAACCCATCTGCTCCGTGAACACTCCCCGGGAGGTCACCCTACACTTTTCTGCGCACTGCTGGACACCCCCTTACCCGCTGGGTCCTTCAGTGCCAACCACCCAGCCCCAAGCAGCTGGAAGAAGAATTCTTGGTAAGAAATTGAGGTCACCTCCGATTTCAGAGCAGCCAGCTGGAACCATTCTCTCACAGGGACCATGGGCCTGTCTCCTCTTTGGACCCCTCAGGAAAGAGAACTCTAGGGCTGGGGGGAGGGGGCTCCCCCTGGGCTTCCCCTTCTGCCCCCACCCCATCTAGGCCAAGACGGAACAGCCAGAGCCCAGTTCTAGGAAAGAATAGAAGAGGAGAAAAGGGGGCTGGGAACGGGAGTCAGCGGCTCACTCATTTCCTCCCCCTGCCAGAAGATCCCTTCAAACTTTGTCAGCCCCGAAGACCTGGACATCCCTGGTCATGCCTCCAAGGACCGATACAAGACCATCTTGCCAAGTAAGAACTGCAGCTAGGATGAAGGGAGTCGGGTACAGGCCCTGGGGCTGGTGAACTTCAGAAGGCAAGGTACACGGTTTCAGCCAGGGAAGGATGACCTTACCTGGGGCATCTTCTCTCAGCAGAGAAAGGGGGAAGAAGGAGCAGGAATCACAACAGCAGCAATAATAATGTTTGCAGATGTGCACCCTGGGCCAGGCCCTGCTCTCAGTCCATTATATTCACTAATTTCTCATAACGATCCCATGAAGTTGGCACTGTGACATTATGATGACCATTTTGCAAATCTCTGTGCCTTCACACTAAGGCACAGAGAAGTTGAGTATCTTACCTAAGATATTCAACTTAGCTACTTACACCAAACCCTCTTCCTCATTTTCCTCTCTCATGGGAAATGCCCAGCCAAGACTCGCAGTGGAAGAAGGACCACTAGGAGGGCTCCCAGAGAGAGGGCTTTGAGAAAGTCAGATGGAGGAGGCAGGGCAACAGCCAGCAAGAGAGCAGTGGTGGGGGTGGGGATGGAGGATCCTGGGCTAGGAGGGGCTGACCCTGCAAGCTGACAGACGCAGGACCAGCACCTTCTATTTTTCAGAGGCAGGCATGAGGCTCTGAGCCTCTCCCTCCCACCCCCGCTCCCCGACAGGGAAGCTACTCCCAGCTTGAGGCTTTAGCTCTGGAGCACATGAGTCCTGCCTCCTGCTAACCCTCCTGGAGTGCCCTCTGCCTGCATGGGCGGATCAAGGGGCTATTAGTGCTATTCCAAGCCACGGGGAGGAGTAGCCCTTGTTCTTGGCCTAATTCTAATCAGCACTGCAGCCACCAGAAAAGGGAAAAATCCCTTTGCCTGAGATTCCTGTGGTCCCCAGGACACCCTCTGTCCATGACCAGGCTGGTATGAGCAGAGCAAGTCTCTTCTCCTTCCCTCACAAGCCGTCTTCTTCATTCATGTTTGGACATGGTGAAGAAATGAAATTTAGAGAAATCTTTCCCCTTAGAAGCAGAGGCCAAATGCCTCACGGCCGAGTGGGATTTGGGTCCTAGTCCCACTTCACAGCTGTGTGATATCCGGCAGGTTGCTCATCTGAATCCCGTATGCACCGTTAGAAAACAAATTCTTCTTTCTCTACATGTCTTTTTCCATTCCCATTGGCCTAATCTTATTCTAAACCCGTACTGATCTCAAGGATAGAATCACTGTATCTATTAGAATATTATATATTGCCGGGCGCGGTGGCTCACGCCTATAATCCCAGCACTTTGGGAGGCCGAGGCGGGTGGATCACGAGGTCAAGAGATCAAGACCATCCTGGTCAACATGGTGAAACCCCGTCTCTACTAAAAATACAAAAAATTAGCTGGGCATGGTGGCGCGTGCCTGTAATCCCAGCTACTCAGGAGGCTGAGGCAGGAGAATTGCCTGAACCCAGGAGGCGGAGGTTGCGGTGAGCCAAGATCGCGCCATTGCACTCCAGCCTGGGTAACAAGAGCGAAACTCTGTCTCAAAAAAAAAAAAAAAAAAAAAAAAAAAAGAATATTATATGTTTACTAGGCCAGGTGCGGTGGCTCATGCCTGTAATCCCAGCACTTTGGAAGGCCGAGGCAGGTGGATCACCTGAGGTCAGGAGTTCAAGACCAGCCTGGCCAACATGGTGAAACCCCATTTCTACTAAAAATTAAAAAATTAGCTAGGCGTGGTGTTGGGTGCTGTAATCACAGCTACTTGGGAGGCTGAGGCAGAAGAATTGCTTGAACCTGAGAGGTAAGGGTTGCAGTGAGCCAATATCATGCCGTTGCACTCCAGCCTGGGTGATAGAGCAAGACTCTGTCTAAAAAAAAAAAAAAGAATATTCCATCTGCCCATTTGGTCTCTGCTGCTCCATTCCCTTTCTTCTCTAGTCCATCCTACACAGCACCACTCAGTTAACCTTCCCAGGCTATTCCTTTGATCACGTCACTATCCTGCTCAGAAACATTCTATAGCTCCCTACTGTCTGCGTATAAAATACTTCAGTGGGGGCCAAACATGATGGCTCACACCTGTCATCTCAGCACTTTGGGAGGTCGAGATGGGAGAACTGCCTGAGGCTAGACACTTAAGACCAGCCAGGGCAACACAGTGAAACCATGTCTCTACAAAAAACGTAAATGAATGAATGAATGAATGGATGGATGAATAAATGAGCCAGGTGTGGTGACATGTGCCTGTAGTCCCAGCTATGTGGAAAGAAGTATCACTTGAGCCCAGGAGTTAGAGGTTGCAGTAAGCCGTGACTGCACCGCTGCACGCCAGCCTAGGCAACAGAGTGAGACCCTGTCTTTAAAAACAACAACGGTTTCAGTGGGGTATCAGGCCACCTGCTATACACAAGGTGTCGTGACTGTGATGAGCACAGGAACTCTCCTCCTGCTGCCCCTGCTGGAGTCTGTGTTAGCTGGTCACCTTTTGACCTCTGACCTCTGCTGATTTTTATTTCCTAGATCCCCAGAGCCGTGTCTGTCTAGGCCGGGCACAGAGCCAGGAGGACGGAGACTACATCAATGCCAACTACATCCGAGTGAGTGGCCTGCTGCAGTGGTGGGCGGGGCATGGGGGAACTCTCAGACGTCTGAGAACATCTTCCAGCCGTGGCTGGTGGATCAGGTGGCTGCATTTCCTGCCCTCCCTGCTCCAGCTCACCTCTGTCATAGACCTACCAAGGTGGCCTGGCACTGAACAGGCCCCAATTCACCAACCTAGACAACGGAGCAGGTGTTAAAAATATTTGGAGAGACCACTGAGTCTCCCTAATCTCCCCATCAGCCCTCCCATGCTGCCCTCTAGACTTAGCAGGAAGTTAGCATTGTTGAGCCCAATCTCCAGCTGCGTGAGAGCTCCCGAGACCACAGGTGATGCCAGCACTAATGGGAACTCCCTCCCCTCTTACCTTAAGTGCCCCTCAAGTAGCCCCTCTTATGTGAAGAAGGTTGATTGACATCAAGATAGAGGAAGCTCTAGGCCAGGTAGGTGCTCCACGCCGGCTTCTCGCTGCTGTGGGCCCAAAGGAAATGTGAAAGCAGTGCCCTCTAGTGGCTCAATGTGGGTAAGACAGCAGTCAGGGGTGCAGGGAGGCGCTAAACCTCTTAGCTCTGGAAGCCGTGGGGACACATGATCTTCCATTTGCCCGCCAATACCAAATCAACTGCAGTCGGGATTTCACCATCATTTGAGGAGCAGGAAGCTGAGGATCCTGAAGGTGAGAAAATCAGGTTAGGGAGAGTGTGCTGCATTTTACTGCTACTTTTATAGAAAGGTAACAAGTTAATGTGAAACTGTCACTGAACAAAGATTAAACACTCTTTAGATATTGTATGCTAGAAGAAGGCAGCAGGGGAGGAAGGGAACAAACATCTGCAGAGCTCTTGCTATCAGCTAGACTCTCAATATATCTTACTGAATTTAATCCACTCTACATTATGATAGACATTGTTATGCCCAATTTACAGATGATACAACTGAGGCTTACAGAGGCTAGGTAACTGGCTCGTAGTGGCACAGGCAGGAAACTGAAGAACAGGGATCTGATCCTTACTCCAGAACCTGAATCCTTTCCACCATGTGGCTTCTGAATGTGCATGTTGATGCACATGTGTGTCTACACGTGTGGTTCACAGCTTCAGGCTGACCCCAGCACCTGAGGCATCCAAGATCTCCCCAGAGCTCTGCTCTCACTGCTCCCCACCCCTTCCCCTGTGCTTCCACCTCCCCAGGGCTATGACGGGAAGGAGAAGGTCTACATTGCCACCCAGGGCCCCATGCCCAACACTGTGTCGGACTTCTGGGAGATGGTGTGGCAAGAGGAAGTGTCTCTCATCGTCATGCTCACTCAGCTCCGAGAGGGCAAGGAGGTAGGAGCAGAGCCACAGTTCTTGATGAACCCAGAAAGTGCTAATGCTCACCCCCACCCCCCAACCCCCACCCAGGGCAGCTCAGGACCAGAGGCTTCCCTGGAATCCAACCCCAGCCCACACCTCTCAGAAAGTTTCCTGAGATAGACCCAGGGAGGCTGTCAATGGCCAAAATATGGGACAGAGTGAGCACTCTGCCTGCAGGTATCAAGCTCAGAAGAGCCAGGCACCCTGTTAATGACCACCCACCCAGTAGGGGTGGAAGATGGGGAGGAGACGCCAGCCCCTCTCTGCTGCCCCGTTCCCTGCTCCAGCTGACCCTCTTCTGACTCCCAGCTCCCTCCCTCCTAGAAATGTGTCCACTACTGGCCCACAGAAGAGGAAGCCTATGGACCCTTCCAGATCCGTGTCCAGGACATGAAAGAGTGCCCAGAATACACTGTGCGGCAGCTCACCATCCAGGTACCACCCCCGGGGCCAGGCCCAGTGGGAAGTTGGACCGCCCACAGCATCCTGGAACTAAGGCCGGCTCTTCGCTAAGAGCCAAGGGTTTGCTCATCTAAACCATCTTAAATCCACATCTATAGAAGAAAGGGAAACTTGGGCACTGTCCTCAGCCTCTAGTCTAATAGGGCAAAGCCAACAAGCCAAATAGGAACCACCAGGAAGTACCACCCATCTGTGTGAATGGTCAGGCGAGGAGAGGCAGGATCCAGGAGTCATGCCGAGGGAAGGAGAGGAGGTTGAAGGAGATGTGGAAGGCCGGGCGCGGTGGCTTACACCTGTAATTCCAGCACTTTGGGAGGCTGAGGCAGGCAGATCACGAGGTCAGGAGTTCGAGACCAGCCTGGCCAACATGGTGAAACCTCATCTCTAGTAAAAATTATAGCTACCTAGGAGGCTAAGACAGGACAGTCACTTGAACCCAGGAGGCAGAGGTTGTAGTGAGCTGAGATCATGCCACTGCACTCTTGCCTGGGTGATGGAGTGAGACTCTGTCTTAAAAAAAAAAAAAAAAAAAATGCGGGGCACGGTGGCTTACACCTGTAGTCCCAGCACTTTGGGAGGCTGAGGTGGGCAGATCACCTGAGGTCAGGAGTTCAAGACCAGTCTGGCCCAACATGGTGAAACCTCGTCTCTAAAAATAAAAATAATTAGAAAGAAAGAAAGAAAGAAAGAAAGAAAGAAAGAGATGTGGAATAACACAGACACAAGGGCTTTTAAAATGCCTTCTATTATTTTCTGTTGTTTTATATTTTTGAAAGCATTTCTCCATCAATTCATTCTCTTCCAAACATCCTGGCAAGTAAACCAGTAAGATAACACTGTCCCCATTTCCCAGGTGACGAAAATGAGATTAAGGGACTTGCCCAAAGTCGTGTGCTTATTAGAAGCAGAGCCAGGACTTGAATTTGGGTCTTTCCCAGGACAATGCTCCTTCCCAGCATTTTGGAGGGGGAAGTGGTGGAGAATGATAAGCGGGAAAATCACAACCTAGCCTGCTTTCAGTAGATGACCCCCGCCCAACCCATAGGGTAATTCCAGCCCTTGCCCTCCTCAGGCACCAGAGAAGAAGGTAGACAGTGCCCTCCACCCTGACCCTGGTTCCCATGCCTTGTCTCCAACCCAGTACCAGGAAGAGAGCCGGTCAGTAAAGCACATCCTCTTCTCGGCCTGGCCCGACCACCAGACTCCAGAATCAGCTGGGCCCCTGCTGCGCCTAGTGGCAGAGGTGGAGGAGAGCCCTGAGGCAGCCGCCCGCCCCGGGCCCATCGTGGTCCACTGCAGGTGCGTGGCCTCCCTCCCACTGCAGCCTGGGTACTGTGCGCCCCTCCCCTGGCCCCTGGGTCTCTCCTGGGGAAGGGTCTGAGCAGAAAAGCATCAGTAAACCTAGTTCTTATTGGGACGTGACTGAAAGGCCATTCAGCAAGGGCTCTATTCATTTCACCTCCTTCATGCAGAACCCAGACATCTGGGCTGGACACCCAGGCCCCATCCACAGCGGGGATGAAGTATCAGGAAGGTCCCAGTCAGCTGCAGGAGGACCATAAGCAGGATTCCAGCTGTTGGGGAATTCAGTTACTCATTCAACAAATAAGTATTGAAAACCTATTTTTGGCCAGGCCTGGTGGCTCACGCCTATTATCCCAGTACTTTGAGAGGCCAGGACGGGCAGATCATGTGAGATTAGGAGTTTGAGACCAGCCTGGCCAACACGGTGAAAACCCATCCCTACTAAAATATACAAAAATTAGCCAGGCGTGGTTATGTACACTTGTAATCTCAGCGACTTAGGAGGCTGAGGCAAGAGAATTGCTTGAACCCTGGAGGCAGAGGTTGAACCTCGGAGGTGGAGGTGATCAGAGATCGCGCCCCTGCACTCCAGCCTAGGTGACAGAGCAAGACTCCATCTCAAAAAAGGAAAAGAAAGGCCGGGTGCGGTGGCTCAAGCCTGTAATCCCAGCACTTTGGGAGGCCGAGGCGGGTGGATCACAAGGTCGAGAGATCGAGACCATCCTGGTCAACATTCTGAAGCCCCGTCTCTGCTAAAAATACAAAAAATTAGCTGGGCTTGGTGGCACATGCCTGTAATCCCAGCTACTCAGGAGGCTGAGGCAGGAGAATTGCCTGAACCCGGGAGGCGGAGGTTGCAGTGAGTCGAGATCGCGCCATTGCACTCCAGCCTGGGTAACAAGAGCGAAACTCCGTCTCAAAAAAAAAAAAAAAAAAAGAAGAAAAAGAAAAGAAAACCTATTATTATCAGGCACAGTGTTAGATGCTAAAGAGACAGCTGTGAACAAAGCAGTCTGCTTTCTTCCCAAGACAGGTTTAAAGGCTGGTGAGAAAGAAACCAGATTAGGCCAGGCACAGTAGCTCACGCCTGTAATCCCAGCACCGGGGAGGCAGAGGCAGGTGGATCACCCGAGGTCAGGAGTTCGAGACCAGCCTGGCCAACATGGTGAAACCCCGTATCTCCTAAAAATTAGCCAAGCATGGTGGCACATGCCTGTAATTCCAGCTACTCGGGAGCCTGAGGCAGGAGAATCACTTAAATCTGGGAGGTAGAGGTTGCAGTGAGCCGAGACCACACCACTGCACTCCAGCCTTCCCAGCCTGGGCAACAGGGCAAGATTCCATCTCAAAAACAAAAAGAAGGCAGATTAAACAATTAAATACCATACAATGTGATGAGAGCCATGATGGGGATATTATGGAGGCATAGAACCAACTCTCCTGAGCCAGACTTTGACCAAAGAAGGTTTTCCAAGAGAAAGGCCATCTAAGCCAAGCTAAGACCTGAAAGGTGAATTAGCCAAGTTAAGGGAGGGAAGGGAACATGTTCCAGCAGCTTATGCTAAAGCCTAGAGAAGAAATTGAAAATGGATAACGGCTGGGGCAGGGTTATGGACCAGGCCCGGAGGTTATATGTGGGGTAATGATGAGAGATCGGTTTGGAAGGCCAGTGAAGATTAGATGATGAGGAACCTTGTAGGACTGGCTAAGACACTTGGATTTGCCATTTTAAAAGAACACTTCGGCTACAGTGTGAAAAATGGTTTGGGTGAAGTGAGAGGGTGTCGTGGGGAACAAGACTAAAGAAAGAAACCATTTGGAAGTGCATATCCTAAACAAAACAGAGCACAGAGGCAGAAGCACCGCAGAGGGGCCTCCCAGCCCACCCACAGGCCGCACTGAGACGTGCTGGGAGTTCATCAGGGGCTCACACAAGGGGAAGGGGAGCACTGGAGCCTCTTTATTTCAAAATAAAGAGAGGCCATGGTGGAGGAGAGCAGAGCAGAGAGAAGACTGTGGGAGGGCGCCAAGGTGTGAAACAGAGGGGCTGGGCGTGGGCCACGTGAAAGATGAGTCTGAGGTGGCCGTGGGCTGTGGCTCACGCCTGTAATCCCAGCATTTTGAGAGGCTGAGGTGGGCGGATCACAAGGTCAGGAGCTGGAGGCCAGCCTGACCAACATGGTGAAACCTTGTCCACTAAGAATGCAAAAAAATTAGCCAGGTGTGGTGGCATGCACTTGTAATCCCAGCTACTCGGGAGGCTGAGGTAGGGGAATTGATTAAACCAGGGAGGTGAAGGTTGCAGTGAACTGAGATCACACCACTGCAGTCCAGCCAGGGTGACAGACAAAGACTCCAACCAAAAAAAAAAAAAAAAAAAAAAAAAAACGGTAAGTCTGAGCTGAGACGAAGTCAAGGTTAGATAAGGAGGGCTCGAGGGTCAGCATGTTCACAAGTGGGGAACTGTCTGTTGGAAACCGCTGTAGCCTCTCAGCAGAAGGGAAATTGTCAAAATGTCCACAGGGACAAGGACAGGCCCCTGTTAGGACAGGCAAGAAATGTAAACTCCTCCTGGACCAGTTACAACCTGCCTCCAGCAGGGTTCCCACGGGGACTGGAATCTGGAGTACTGCTACCTTCCCCCATCTCCTGAGCCCTATCCCCAAAACACAGTACCTGCAGGTCCCATTTCTTTCTCCGTAGTTTGGGGCCCGGGCTCCCACATTCCCTGGCTCCCATGACCTCCCTGTCTCCTCCCTGGCTATATCCAGTGCAGGGATTGGCCGGACGGGCTGCTTCATCGCCACACGAATTGGCTGTCAACAGCTGAAGGCCCGAGGGGAAGTGGACATTCTGGGCATTGTGTGCCAACTGCGGCTAGACAGGTGGGTCTGTGGATGTAAACAAGGCCAGCAACGTTAACAGGGGGCATGGGTGCCTCTGGACCCCAGAGCCCTGCTCCAGCCATCACCATCAAGCACTCCTGCAAGAAAGGAAGAAACCCTTTCTGCTTAGAGCTGTTTATTTTGCAGCTAGCAACAAGGAAAAAATATCTATCTGGATGGCTGGGCACGGTGGCTCATGCCTATAATCCAGCACTTTGAGAGGCTGAGGCAGGTGGATCACCTGAGGTCAGGAGTTCAAGACCAGCCTAGCCAACATGGTGAAATTCCATCTCTACTAAAAATACAAAAATTAGCCGGGCATGGTGGCGGGCCCCTGTAATCCCTGATACTCGAGAGGCTGAGGCAGGACAGTCGCTTGAACCCAGGAGGTGAAGGTTGCAGTGAGCCAAGCTTGTGCCATTGTACTCCAGCCTGGGCAACAGAGCAAGACTCAAAAAAAAAAAAGAATATCTATCTGAAATATTGGCTTGGAGGCCTGAAATTAAACATGTCACTCTATGGATTTACCCTGGGCATTCAATCTTACCTCCAAGTTCCCTACTCAGAGGAAAGTTAGCAGGTGGAGTGTGTTTAATCCAAGATGAGGCAGCAGCAAGTAGTACAAAGAAGCTCACTAGGCGGAGACAGAGCCAGCATTCAGATTCAGACTTCTGTCTCACTGAGATGTCACTAGATTTCTCTGAGCTCCCATTTCTTTTTCTTTTTTCTTTCTTTTTTTTTTTTTTTTTTTTAATAATAGAGATGGGGTCTTACTATGTTGCCCAGACTAGTCTTGAACTCCTGGGCTCAATAATGCCCCCTTGGCTTCACAAAGTGCTGGGATTACAAGCTTAAGCCACTGTGCCTGGCCCCTACTTCTTTTTTTTTTTTTGAGACTGAGTTTCGCTCTTGTTACCCAGGCTGGAATGCAATGGCGCGATCTCGGCTCACCGCAACCTCTGCCTCCTGGGTTCAGGCAATTCTCCTGCCTCAGCCTCCTGAGTAGCTGGGATTACAGACACGCGCCACCATGCCCAGCTAATTTTTTGTATTTTTAGTAGAGACAGGGTTTCACCATGTTGACCAGGATGGTCTCAATCTCTTGACCTCGTGATCCACCCGCAGCGGCCTCCCAAAGTGCTGGGATTACAGGCGTGAGCCACCGCGCCCAGCCCCTACTTCTTTATCTAGAGAGAGGTAATGGCTCCTTCCCCCAGAGAACTGTTGTAAGAAATGAATTAACTTATATGAAAGTATTTTGGAAATGAAAACTATACAAATGTGTAGAATCATTATTTTTACTTTTAAGATTATTGGAAAGAAAGAAACTTGCTGGGTGTAGTGGCTCATGCCTGTAGTCCCAGCATTTTGGGAGGTTCGGGCGGGCAGATCATGAGGTCAGGAGTTCGAGACCAGCCTGAACAACATGGTGAAACACCGTCTCCACTAAAAATACAAAAATTAGCTGGGTATGGTGGCGTGTGCCTGTAATCCCAGCTACTCAGGAGGCTGAAGCAGGAGATTCCCCTTAACCTGGGAGGCGGAGATTGTAGTGAGCCAACATCACGCCACTGTACCCCAGCCTGGTGACAGAGTGAGACTCCATCTGAAAGAAAGAAAGAAAGAAAGAAAGAAAGCAAAGATGAATTAAGTTGCTGGGAGCAGTGGCTCACACCTGTAATCCCAGCACTTTGGGAGGCAGAGGCAGGCGGATCACCTGAGGTCGGGAGTTTGAAACCAGCCTGACCAACATGGAGAAACCCTGTCTCTACTAAAAACACAAAAAATTAGCCAGACGTGGTGGCACATGCCTGTAATTCCAACTACTTGGGTGGCTGAGGCAGGAGAATCGCTTGAACCCGGGAAGCAGAGATTGCAATGAGCCAAAATCATGCCATTGCACTCCAGCCTGGGCCATAAGAGCAAAACTCCGTCTCAAAAAAAAGAGAAGGAAACTTGAGGCTCAGGAGTATTCCTGGCCTGACCCCCCAAGGCTTCAGAGGTTTTGTCCCAGGAGCTGAGTAGATTAGGGAAGACCAAGTGTCAACATGGGGCATCACCCTCAGCACACCAAGCCACGTGCAAGGGGCAGAGGACTTCTCTCAAAGCAGATCTGAGGGGCAGCAAGAAAGAGTAGCAAGTAGAAAAGATGAATATAGGTGGCTCATGTCTGTAATCCCAGCACTTTGGGAGGCTGAGACAGGCAGATCACTTGAGGTCAGGAGTTCAAGACCACCCTGGGCAACATGGTGAAACCCCATCTCTACTAAAAAACACAAAAATTAGCTGGGCATGGTGGCACATGCCTATAATCCTAGCTACTCAGGAGATTGAGGCAGGAGAATCACTTGAACCTGGGAGATGGAGGTTGCAGTGAGCTGAGATCATATCACTGCATTCCAGCTTGGGCAACAGAGTGAGACTTCATCTCAAAAAAAGAAAAGAAAAGGAAAGTTGAATATAGGTAGAGGAGTTGGCATTTCTTTGAGAAAGTCAGGACTTTCCCAGTGGGACCACGAGGATGTTTGGCTGGAGCTGCTCAGCTAGCACCCTGGCCCTCCTTCACTCATGGCCTGTGTGTCTCTCCTTGCAGAGGGGGGATGATCCAGACGGCAGAGCAGTACCAGTTCCTGCACCACACTCTGGCCCTCTATGCAGGCCAGCTGCCCGAGGAACCCAGCCCCTGACCCCTGCCACCCTCTGACAGCCCAGGTGCCCACCTCCCTCAAGCCTGGGAAATGGGTCTGGGGAAAGTGGACCGAGTGATCTGGGAGTACCCTATGGGTGAGTGTGGGAAAGGAGCGCCTCCTTACGGCGCTTGAAGTCCCAGGAAGCAGCATCAGCAAGGACAAGGGGCCAGATTCCGGTCTTCACCACTGGCCACTCCTCTGCTTCCTCTGTTGGCCCCAGATGGACAGTAGGGGGACCTCCAATGTCTCTCTGAACTTAAAGACAGGAAGCCCAGGTGTCCCGGTCTTCTCTACAACACTCTTAGTGAGCTTTAGTTTCCTCTTCTATAACATGAACATTAAGTGCTTAGCTGCCATAAGGGAAAAGCAATAAGAGAAGTCTCTAGAAGCCATTGCAGCTGTATCCCCTTCCTGGGAATGACAAAAGGGTGATTCCAAGATCATCCTTCACCTGAGGCCCTGCCCGAGCACAGGCCAGATGCAAGAGCGGGGAGAAGTCTGATGCTGATGTCCAAGTTTCAACATCGTAGCAGTGACTCTGCTCCCTGACCACACATCAGAAGAGCTGGACACCCACGATCAAAAGAAAGAACAAGGACTGAGGTTACCCTTGCCTCCACCCACGTGTCCTGAGAGTAGGCTACAGAGGTGACCAGGCCTGGCAGTGGAAATCTGGAAGAGGGAACATGCGAGGCTACTCGGAGGCAAAGAAGACTGCTCCTGCCTCTGTGGTTGCTGGCCACTCCCACCAACTACGCTTTTCTTTTTTTTTTTTTTTTCAAGATGGGGTTTCACCATGATGGCCAGGCTGGTCTTGAACTCCTGACCTCAGGTGATCCACCCACCTCTGTCTCCCAAAGTGCTAGGATTACAGGCGTGAGCCACTGCGCCTGGCCACCCACCAACGACTCTTAGGGAGGCTCTCAGCAGTCTCTGTTCTGCTTCTATGGCTCAGATAATACCCTGGGTATGCAGGAAGACAAAAGAAAGAGGGGGCCGGGCGCAGTGGCTCGAGCCTGTAATCCCAGCACTTTGGGAGGCCAAGGCGGGCAGATCACCTGAGGTCAGGTGATTACAAAAAATTAGCTGGGCGTGGTGGTAAGTGCCTGTCATCCCAGCTACTCAGGAGGCTGATGCAGGAGAATCACTTGAACCTGGGAGGCGGAGGTTGCAGCGAGCCGAGATCGCACCACTGCACTCCAGCCTGGGTGACAAGAATGAAACTCCATATCAAAAGAAAGAAAAGAAAGAAGGAGGCAAGGGGAGAAGAGGAGGCCACGTGCTCAGTCTGGTTAGAAAACCAACCACGGCGGGCCACGGCCCTCTCTACCCTGCATTTGCTGAGTACACCTGGAGAGCTTGGTTGTTTCCAAAAACAATCAGGGTCATAACCATCCATGCAAACATGGAGACTGGACGGAATTGGGACCCCTCACCATCTACCCCAGAGAACTAACGCCCCTCATCCATCTCGGCATCAACGCAATTTCCAGGGCACCTCAGGTCTATCTCAGGACTGAACTCCACACCTCAGGATTCGTCCTACTTGAATCTGATACTGGCTGCCCATCCTGAGATGGGGATGAAGGTAAGATGCCGCATCAGCCGGCACGCCGTCCCTGAGAGCTGCCTTGGTTGCTACCAGTTCTCTGCGGAAACCCCCAAGGAGCTGGATCTAGAGAACAGCTGGGCTTCCTCACTCGGGACTTCTCTCCTGAAGAACACGCAGTGCTGAGACTGAGGATGATTTCCCTAATGCTTCTGCTTGGCCTTACGGAGGAGCTCCTCCTTCCCTACAGGCCTGGGGTGGACTTGCCCACACCTCCACCTCCCCTAAGCCCTGTGAGAGGTACCACTCTGTGCCAATGAGGCGAGGTGGGGGGCTCTCAAGTGCCTGATCCTCCCCTGGGCTCAGAGCCAGCCAGTAGGGAAGCAACAGCACAGCCCCACAGGCCCTCCCTGGCACTGTCACCCCAACCCCATCTCAGAGCTCAGAGGGTACAAGCTCCAGAACAGTAACCAAGTGGGGAAATAAAGACTTCTTGGATGACTGACTCATTTCTTCTTTCCATCTTCTTCTCGGGCCTCTGGGGCCTCTTTGTAGCATGAGAGAGCGGAAGACTCTGCAGACCAGGGACAGGCAGGCTTCAAATCTTTGCCCTTGGGGAATGCAGTTCTCTAGCACTTCCAAGGACATATGATAAGGTGAAACCAAAGTCAATTTAGGAAGTGAGGCAGCAGCAGACGTCATAGTCTACTCAGGCGGATGTAACAATTCACACTACCATAAACCAGGTGGCTTCTGAACAACAGAAACGGATTGCTCACATGTTCTGGAGGCTGGGAAGTCTGGGATCCAGGCCCTTGAGGACTGGTGTCTGGCTCCCAGGCAGAGCCTTCTTTCTGTCCTTGAATGGTGAAAAGGTTGTGGGCTGGTGTTCTTCCCCCCAACTTCACCAGCCCGCTTGATAAGGCTCTACCCTCATGACTTCATCACCTCCCAGTACCATCCACCTTAGGTATGAGGACTTCAACCTATGAATTTTGGGGGACGCAAACCTTCAGCCCCATAGCCTTTATCTTAGGAGCTAGAGAGGGACTTATAAAAGACAGAGGTTGGAAAGATGGTGCTTAATAAACCAGGATATTGGTGGGGGGCTGTGGCTCACGCCTGTAATCCCAGCACTTTGGGAGGGCGAGGCAGGCAGATTGCTTGAGCTCAGGGCTTCGAAACCAGCTTGGACAACATGGCAATACCCCGTCTCTACAAAATATACAAAAATTAGGCGGGCATAGTGGCGCATACCTGTAGTCCCCCAGCTACTCAGGAGTCTGAGGTGGGAGAATCACCTCAGCCCGAGGAGGTGGAGGTTGCAGTGAGTTGAGATTGTGCCACTGCACTGCAGCCTGGGTGACACAGCGAAACCTTGCCAAAAAAAACAAAAACAAAAACAAAAACCTCAGAATATTATGCTAGCCCAAGACCTTGTGATTCTTCTGCTTTGGTAACTTTTGACTATTTGGGGTCATCTAACGCCGGTTGATTGGACAGATATGACTGATACTGATAGTTTATCCACTTTTCACTACAGACTACATGTGACTACATTTGAAAACCAAATCCCAACAGGCAGCAAGCATAGGCTGGGGACTGCCAGAAGCCTGGGCCTACGGGGACGGCCACCTGGGGTTGTCAGCCTGCCTGCACAGACTTTATGGGTGGGTCCTGCAAGGAGGGTGGCAGGCGGGGGGCATCTTTTCAGGCACTCCACACCCACTATCACTTCTCCTGCTGAAGAATCTGCTTGTAACCACAACAGGCCAACATGTTCCTTTGTCACAGATGTTCCTCACTGGAAACCCCCTCTCACCCCAGGACTGTATCTGTTTCGGGATCTTGGGGATGCTGGTAAAAATTGGGATCAAGTTCAAGCGTCTGCTTCACTTCGGGTCAGAGGCTTCCTAACAAGTGGTCGGGGTAAATTGTGATGAGCAAAACAAGATGGAGTATGGAAAGCCCCAAATACGGTTGTCTCTCTGCACTGGGTGCATTTTGAGAGGACGGGACTCTACCCAGGGATGCTCTGAGGCAAGGGTTCAGTAACAAAAAAACCTCCATTTGCGTCCCAGTCGTGGGGATCTCATCTTCGTGTCCTGAAAAGTGGGTGACCCACCCTCCTTCAACCTGAAAAGTCTCCTGCTTAACTGGGACCTCACCCATCTCGAGCCCACCACCCTTTAAGAAAGGGGGTGCCAGTCCGGGCGCGGCAGCCGGGGACAGGAGAGAAACAAATTAGATCCCATTCCCCAAGCGCCCCTCGACGCCACCTGCCAGTCAACCCCCGCCAGTGAAGCTGCAGGTTCCCCGCCCACCCCACCTGCGGGTGCGGCCCCTGGCCCCCGGCTCTCGCAGGGGAGGAGCGCGCGCGCTCGGGTGCGAGCAGGACGCGGCCCGGCCGCGCGGGAGGGCGGCGGCGGCGGCGGAGGAGGGCGCTGAAGCCACACCCATCAGCGAGCCGATTCCGGGGCCGCGAGTCGTCCGCCGCCGCGCTCCAGCCTCCGCCCGCACCGAGCCGCGGGACCCGGGACGTACTGGGGAGGGGCCGCTCCGGGCCGCAGCGCGAGGGCAGCGAGGGGCGGCGGGGACCCGGCACCGGGCGGGGCCGGCGGCAGCGACCATGATCGCTTTGTTCAACAAGCTGCTGGACTGGTTCAAGGCCCTGTTCTGGAAGGAGGAGATGGAGCTCACGCTGGTCGGGCTTCAGTACTCGGGCAAGACCACCTTCGTCAACGTGATCGCGGTACGAGGGCGCCGGGCGCGGGGTTCCCGGGCTCGGGCTGCGCGTCGGGCCTGTCTCCGCCCGCGCCGCGCCCTGCTGAGCCGGGGTCGCCGCCTGGCATGGCCGGGCACGGCCGGGCGCCGGGCGGGGGAGGAGCCGGCCCCGAGCGCTTGGGGCCTAGTACGGCCCGTGCCGTGGGGGACCCGGCGGCGCGCGACCCGCTCTCCCACTCGGGCGGGTACTGCACGGCTGGGGGCAGGGGGAGGGGGGCGAACAGACAGGGCCGGTGCCACGGGGCAGGCGGCACCGAGGGGCTCTCGAGGCAGGAGGGACCAGCCGCCGGCTGAGGCGGGCCCCCTCGGGCCCCCTCCAGCCCCCGCGCACGGGGGCATGACGGGGCGAAACTGCCCGGGCCTTTCCGTCCCGCGGGCAGAGGGTCAGGGGTAGGCACCGCCGAGTGGCTTGGGAAGGGGTCCCGGGCAAGCTCAGCCCCACCCAGAGGGCTTAACCCATCCTTGCCGGAAGAGGAAGCCCCTGGCCTGTTGAGGGGGAGGGGAGGTATCCCCGGGGGTAGAGGAGTCAGCTGAGGCCCCTGGCTGCAGCCCAGACTCCTCCCCAACCTCTCCCCGACCCGCAGTGTCTATTGGGGGTCCAGGGAGGATGGCATGGTAACGGGAGTTTGGAGACTCCGTCCTGCTCGGAAGTTGCGGGAGAAGGTGCTCCCGACAAGAGATGATGGGGTGCAGGGGCACTGCCCGCTGGGGCCCGGGGAGAGTGGCTCGAAGGGCTGTGGGTAGTCAACACTGAAGTGGGTGATTGTAAAAGTCTTTCAGTGCCAGGCGAGTGGTGGGGAAGGAGTTAAAATCTCTCTCAAAAAAAGGGGAAGATGAGCTCCATGGGTGTGAGCCGAGGCTGCGGTAATGGCTGCGGCCTGCCTGTCAGAGCCAGCCTAGACAGGGCTTGCGGGTCGAAGAAGCATGGGATAGGGGCTGGGGTTGTCCAGGGACCGGGCCCCAGTCCCAAAGCTGAGGTTGCCAACAACTGTGAGTTGGCCAGATAGTAACCAGATACTGATAAGAGAGGTCAGCAGAGGGCTGTGTCGGCGAGCCCAGGTACCCCCAGCTGTCCGTGTGGTTGCCCTGCCTTGCAGAAGATGGGCCTCTAGACAGGTCTTAGCACCTCAGAAGGCAGGGGACGTCACTTCACTGGACCTGAGGCATGAAGGCAGATGGAGGGCTCCAGGGGCAGGCACCCCATGGTTGTACGATTGAGCACTGGCTTCCTTTCCCAAACATGCTCTGCCAA